GCGTGCGTGCGTGCGCGTGCGTGCGTGCGTGCGTGCGTGCGTAAGTGGCGAGCGTGCGTGCGTGCTGTCGTGCGTCGTGCGTGCGTGCGTGCGTGCGTGCGTGCGTTGCGTGCGTGCGTGCGTGCGTGCGTGCGTGCGTGTCTGCGTGCGTCGGTGCGTGCGTGCGTGCGTGGTGCGTGCGTGCGTGCGTGCGTGCGTGCGTGCGCGTGCGTGCGTGCGTGCGTGCGGCGTGCGTGCGTGCGTGCGTGCGTGCGTGCGTGCGTGCGTGCGTGCGTGCGTGCGTGCGTGCGTGCGTGCGTGGGTGCGTGCGTGCGTGCGTGCGGCGCGTGCGTGCGTGGTGCGTGCGTGCGTGCGTCCGCGTGCGTGCGTGCGTGCGTGCGTGCGTGCGTGCGTGCGTGGTGCGTGCGTGCGTGCGTGCGTGCGTGCGTGCGTGGTGCGTGCGTGCGTGCGTGCGTGCGTGCGTGCGTGCGTGCGTGCGTGGCGTGCGTGCGTGCGTGCGTGCGTGCGTGCTGCGTGCGTGCGTGCGTGCGTGCGTCATGCGTGCGTGCGTGCGTGCGTGCGTGCGTGCGTGCGTGCGTGCGGTGCGTGCGTGCGTGCGTGCGTGCGTGCGTGCGTGCGTGCGTGCGTGCGTGCGTGCGTGCGTGCGTGCGTGCCGTGCGTCGCGTGCGTGCGTGGTGCGTGCGTGCGTGCGTGCGTGCGTGCGTGCGTGCGTGCGTGCGTGCGTGCGTGCGTGCGTGCGTGCGTGCGTGCGTGCGCCGTGCGTGCGTGCGTGCGTGCGTGCGTGCGTGCGTGCGTGCGTGCGTGCGTGCGTGCGTGCGTGCGTGCGTGCGTGCGTGCGTGCGTGCGTGCGTGCGTGCGTGCGTGCGTGCGTGCGTGCGTGCGTGCGTGCGTGTGCGTGCGTGCGTGCGTGCGTGCGTGCGTGGTGCGTGCGTGCGTGCGTGCGTGCGTGCGTGCGTGCGTGCGTGCGTGCGTGCGTGCGTGCGTGCGTGCGTGCGTGCGTGCGGTGCGTGCGTGCGTGCGTGCGTGCGTGCGTGCGTGCGTGCGTGCGTGCGTGCGTGCGTGCGTGCGTTGCGTGCGTGCGTGCGTGCGTGCGTGCGTGCGTGCGTGCGTGCGTGCGTGCGTGCGTGCGTGCGTGCGTGCGTGCGTGCGTGCGGCGTGCGTGCGTGGTGCGTGCGTGCGTGCGTGCGTGCGGTGCGTGCGTGCGTGGCGTGCGTGTGCCGTGCGTGCGTGCGTGCGTGCGTGCGTGCGTGCGTGCGTGCGTGCGTGCGTGCGTGCGTGCGTGCGTGCGTGCGTGCGTGCGTGCGTGCGTGCGTGCGTGCGTGCGTGCGTGCGTGCGTGCGGCGTGCGGTGCGTGCGTGCGTGCGTGCGTGCGTGCGTGCGTGCGTGCGTGCGTGCGTGCGTGCGTGCGTGCGTGCGTGCGTGCGTGCGTGCGTGCGTGCTGCGTGCGTGCGTGCGTGGCGTGCGTGCGTGCGTGCGTGCGTGCGTGCGTGCGTGCGTGCGTGCGTGCGTGCGTGCGTGCGTGCGTGCGTGCGTGCGTGCGTGCGTGCGTGCGTGCGTGCGTGCGTGCGTGCGTGCGTGCGTGCGTGCGTGCGTGCGTGGCGTGCGTGCGTGCGTGCGTGCGTGCGTGCGTGCGTGCGTGCGTGCGTGCGTGCGTGCGTGCGTGCGTGCGTGCGTGCGTGCGTGCGTGCGTGCGTGCGTGCGTGCGTGCGTGCGTGCGTGCGTGCGTGCGTGCGTGCGTGCGTGCGTGCGTGCGTGCGTGCGTGCGTGCGTGCGTGCGTGCGTGCGTGCGTGGCGTGCGTGCGTGCGTGCGTGCGTGCGTGCGTCGGCGTGCGTGCGTGCGTGCGTGCGTGCGTGCGTGCGTGCGTGCGTGCGTGCGTGCGTGCGTGCGTGCGTGCGTGCGTGCGTGCGTGCGTGCGTGCGTGCGTGCGTGCGTGCGTGCGTGCGTGCGTGCGTGCGTGCGTGCGTGCGTGCGTGCGTGCGTGCGTGCGTGCGTGCGTGCTGCGTGCGTGCGTGCGTGCGTGCGTGCGTGCGTGCGTGCGTGCGTGCGTGCGTGCGTGCGTGCGTGCGTGCGTGCGTGCGTGCGTGCGTGCGTGCGTGCGTGCGTGCGTGCGTGCGTGCGTGCGTGCGTGCGTGCGTGCGTGCGTGCGTGCGTGCGTGCGTGCGTGCGTGCGTGCGTGCGTGCGTGCGTGCGTGCGTGCGTGCGTGCGTGCGTGCGTGCGTGCGTGCGTGCGTGCGTGCGTGCGTGCGTGCGTGCGTGCGTGCGTGCGTGCGTGCGTGCGTGCGTGCGTGCGTGCGTGCGTGCGTGCGTGCGTGCGTGCGTGCGTGCGTGCGTGCGTGCGTGCGTGCGTGCGTGCGTGCGTGCGTGCGTGCGTGCGTGCGTGCGTGCGTGCGTGCGTGCGTGCGTGCGTGCGTGCGTGCGTGCGTGCGTGCGTGCGTGCGTGCGTGCGTGCGTGCGTGCGTGCGTGCGTGCGTGCGTGCGTGCGTGCGTGCGTGCGTGCGTGCGTGCGTGCGTGCGTGCGTGCGTGCGTGCGTGCGTGCGTGCGTGCGTGCGTGCGTGCGTGCGTGCGTGCGTGCGTGCGTGCGTGCGTGCGTGCGTGCGTGCGTGCGTGCGTGCGTGCGTGCGTGCGTGCGTGCGTGCGTGCGTGCGTGCGTGCGTGCGTGCGTGCGTGCGTGCGTGCGTGCGTGCGTGCGTGCGTGCGTGCGTGCGTGCGTGCGTGCGTGCGTGCGTGCGTGCGTGCGTGCGTGCGTGCGTGCGTGCGTGCGTGCGTGCGTGCGTGCGTGCGTGCGTGCGTGCGTGCGTGCGTGCGTGCGTGCGTGCGTGCGTGCGTGCGTGCGTGCGTGCGTGCGTGCGTGCGTGCGTGCGTGCGTGCGTGCGTGCGTGCGTGCGTGCGTGCGTGCGTGCGTGCGTGCGTGCGTGCGTGCGTGCGTGCGTGCGTGCGTGCGTGCGTGCGTGCGTGCGTGCGCGTGCGTGCGTGCGTGCGTGCGTGCGTGCGTGCGTGCGTGCGTGCGTGCGTGCGTGCGTGCGTGCGTGCGTGCGTGCGTGCGTGCGTGCGTGCGTGCGTGCGTGCGTGCGTGCGTGCGTGCGTGCGTGCGTGCGTGCGTGC